GTCCATTTAATCGAGGCCCCCGCCGATGCTACATCTGCCGGTCCACCGGACACCTGCGACGAGATTGTCCTCATGCAGCTCCCCCAGTAGGGCAACCACAGCAGCATCCTGGTGCAAGCATTCAGGCCCATCAAGTCAATTTCCCCCACTTTGCACCCCAGCAGTCTCCCCAGCATTTTATCCCCCAGCACTCATCCCATCAACAACAAACACCCCAACAGCCGTTAAACTAAAGAGGTCTGCCATTGAGAGCCAAACGACAGGCCTACAAGAATTGAGGGAAAGTGGCTCAATCATTGGGAAAGCAGTAGGAGACAGTCCGATAGCTAGAGTGAAGATTGGAGGCACCGAGGTGACATGTCTGCTAGACACTGGAGCACAGGTTTCGACGCTGACTGAGTCGTGTTTCAAGGAGAACTTCTCCGATGCAGAATTAGTCGACATACACTCCTTGCTTCACATCTCGGGTGCCCACGGCACTGCCATCCCCTATATTGGCTATGTTGAGCTACCACTTGAAGCACTGGGGCAGACCCATCACCAAGTAGGATTTGTGGTAGTTAAAGATCCGGAGAGTCCCACTATGGCTGAGAGGAAGTGCCAAGTACCTGGAGTCATCGGCTCAAATATCTTCCGGGACATGAGGGACACTCTTCAGAAGGAGAGTGGACTGGGATTTCTGCAGACCTTTGGCAAGCATGGTGAACAGGCTGAATGGGGCTATGTGCTCGCACTTTATGAGGAGGTAAGGGGTGCTTCAGTCCAGCCAGAAACGCCTGGGAATGTTCGCATCCTTGGTCAGAAACCAGTTCTGGTGCCAGCGATGTCCCTTCGCGTTATTAACTGCTCCGTGAGGCCAATGATTGGGAAGTTTGCATACCAAGCCATTGTTGAGCAGCTTGAAGCACACGGCAAACATCTCCCCAGGGCATGAAAGTTGCCCCAGTCTTTGTCAGCATCGATGCAAGAGGCACAGTACCAGTACAGATTGCCAATTTCAGCCAAGATGATGTCTATCTTCAACCCAAAACACCAGTTGCATCAATTTCCCCGGCTCTTCCCGAAAGCACTACACAGCATGCTCCCAAACAAGAGAATGAAGCCTTAGTATGTGATCATATTCAAGCATCACTGGACAGAGGAGTGATACGAGAGTCCTCAAGCCCTTACACATCACCAGTTGTCCTTGTGCGAAAGGGAAACGGAAAGCTGAGGTTGTGTGTCGATTACAGGGCACTCAACGCGAAGACACACAAGGATGCATATCCACTCCCCCGAATTGATTAAGCCCTTGATACTCTGAGTGGGGCCAAATATTTTTGCAGCTTGGATCTTGCTCATGGCTTCTATCAAATTCCAGTTGAAGAAAGAGACATTGAGAAGACAGCATTTCGTGTTGGGGCAGGTGGCTTGTACGAGTTCACACTAATGCCGCTTGGGCTGTGCAATGCCCCTGCCACCTTCATGCATCTCATGGACAAAGCATTCGGTGATAAGAACTTCCAGTCACTCATCGTCTACCTTGATGATATTCTGGTCTTTGGCAAGACCTTCAATGAGACTCTTGAGCAGCTGGAGATGGTTCTCACGCGTCTGCAAGACTTCCGGCTGAAAGTGAAGCCCGAAAAGTGTCACTGGTTTGCAGCAAAACTTCGCTACCTGGGGCATGGAATCTTGNAAGTTGCCCCAGTCTTTGTCAGCGTTGATGCAAGAGGCACAGTACCAGTACAGATTGCCAATTTCAGCCAAGATGATGTCTATCTTCAACCCAAAACACCAGTTGCATCAATTTCCCCGGCTCTTTCCGAAAGCACTACACAGCATGCTCCCAAACAAGAGAATGAAGCCATCGTTCAACACATAGAGGTGGGTGATGACCCTACTGCTGATCTGATGTCCAGGATTCAGATAGGGAAAGATGTCAGTGACAGCTGAAGGATCTCACAGCACTGATAACTAAGTACACAGAAGTTTTCAGCATCGACGATGACGATATCGGCTACTGCAACAAGGTTGAGCACCGAATCATCACCACTGATGATCTACCAGTGAAGGTACCACACAGAAGAATTCCCCCTCATCTTTGGCCTGAAGTACGTGATCATATTCAAGTATCACTGAACAGAGGAGTGATACGAGAGTCCTCAAGCCCTTACTCATCACCAGTTGTCCTTGTGCGAAAGAGAAACGGAAAGCTGAGGTTGTGTGTCGATTACAGGGCACTCAACGCGAAGACACACAAGGACGCGTATCCACTCCCCCGAATTGATGAAGCCCTTGATACTCTGAATGGGGCCAAATATTTTTGCAGCTTGGATCTCGCTCATGGCTTCTGTCAAATTCCAGTTGAAGAAAGAGACATAAAGAAGACAGCATTTCGCATTGGGACAGGTGGCTTGTACGAGTTCACACGAATGCCATTTGGGCTGTACAATGCCCCTGCTACCTTCATTCGTCTCATGGACAAAGCATTCGGTGATAAAAACTTCCAGTCACTCATCGTCTACCTTAGCGATATCCTGGTCTTTGGCAAGACCTTCGATGAGACTCTTGAGCAGCTGGAGATGTTCTCATGCATCTGCAAGACTTCCGGCTGAAAGTGAAGCCCGAAAAGTGTCACTGGTTTGCAGCAAATCTTCGCTATCTGGGGCATGAAATCTCGGCTGAGGGTATTTCACCTGATCCAGAGAAAGTAAGAGCAGTTACTGAGTAGGAACGCCCAACAAAAGAGGGCGAACTTCGAAGTTTCCTTGGGCTTACCAGTTATTATCGTCGCTTCATCCCTGAGTATGCCAAAGTTGCTTCCCCACTCCATGCTATGCTGGGTGGTTCTGCAAAGATAAGACAGGCGGAAGAAAGCTGTTACCCCCCAGAAACCCTACGTATGGACTGAGGCGTGTGAGACTGCCTTCAATCAGCTGAAGCAACTCTTGACCAATGCCCTTTTGTTGGGCTACCCAGATTTCAAGGCTCCTTTCGTCTTGGAAGTGGACACTAGCCATCTGGGACTTGGTGCAGTGCTTTCCCAAGAACAGGGGAATGGTCGTGTTGTTCTTGGCTATGCCAGCAGAGGTCTCCGAGGGAGTGAAAGAAACATGGAAAACTGCAGCAGCATGAAGTTAGAACTATTAGCTTTGAGATGGGCTATCACCGTGAAGTTTCGAGATCTCCTTCTTGGTGCAAATTTTACAGTCTACACAGACAACAACTCTCTGAGCTACCTGCAGATGAATACCAAGTTGGGAGCTACAGAGACAAGGTGGGCAGCTGAGTTGGCGCAATTCAACTTCACAGTGAGGTACAGGTCAGGAAAGAGTAACAAGAATGCCGAGGCTCTCAGTAGAAAGCCTGTTCATTGTGCTGAGCCAGAGAATGTACGGTGTGAGGAAGTATGTACTGCAGCCAACCCTCTTCTCCAAATGTCCACGACAGTTCCAAATGAAGTGCGTTAAGAGCTACTGACCATCCTTGCTGAAGCAGGATTTAGTGAAGTTCATGCCAGACATGACAGGCCGACACCTACTGCAACTTCAACCCTACCTACAATACCACCTGTGGAGATGGCCCACTTACAACAGAATGACCAGTATTTTGGTCGGCTCCTTTACTACTTGAAGAAAGCGGTAAGACCACTGCACAAGCAGTTAATGATGGAAGAGAAACTGACACGCAAACTGCTAAAGCTCTGGGATAAAATTCAGGTGAAGG